TCAGACCACTGCAATTTAGCTGGTACACCATTGAAATTGAATGGACATTTTTACTTCTAATTACTAGCAGAAAGATGGCCGCCGGTCCACCTACTGTCGAATGTCAACTTAAATTTGTTATTTTATTAATTTTTTTATTTCACCTTTATTTAACCAGGTAAACCAGTTGAGAACAAGTTCTCATTTACAACTGCGACCTGGCCAAGATAAAGCAAAGCAGTGCGATAAAAACAACAACACAGAGTTACATATGGGGTAAAACAAAACAAAGTCAAAAAATACAACAGAAATACATATATATACAGTGTGTGCAAATTTAGCAAGTTATGGAGGTAAGGCAATAAAATAGGCTATAGTGCAAAATAATTACAATTAGTATTAACACTGGAATGATAGATGTGCAAGAGATGATGTGCAAATAGAGATACTGGGGTACAAATGAGCAAAATAAATAACAATATAGGGATGAGGTAGTTGGGCGGGCTAATTTCAGATGGGCTGTGTACAGGTGCAGTGATCGGTAAGGTGCTCTGACAACTGATGCTTAAAGTTAGTGAGGGAGATAAGTGTCTCCAGCTTCAGAGATTTTTGCAATTTGTTCCAGTCATTGGCAGCAGAGAACTGGAAGGAATTGCGGCCAAAGGAGGTGTTGGCTTTGGGGATGACCAGTGAGATATACCCGCTGGAGCGCAGACTACGGGTGGGTGTTGCTATGGTGACCAATGAGCTAAGATAAGGCGGGGATTTGCCTAGCAGTGATTTATAGATGGCCTGGAGCCAGTGGGTTTGGCGACGAATATGTAGTGAGGACCAGCCAACAAGAGCGTACAGGTCACAGTGGTGGGTATTATATGGGGCTTTGGAGACAAAACGGATGGCACTGTGATAGACTACATCCAATTTGCTGAGTAGAGTGTTGGAGGCTATTTTGTAAATGACATCGCCGAAGTCAAGGATCGGTAGGATAGTCAGTTTTACGAGGGCATGTTTGGCAGCATGAGTGAAGGAGGCTTTGTTGCGAAATAGGAAACCGATTCTAGATTTAACTTTGGATTGGAGATTCTTAATGTGAGTCTGGAAGGAGAGTTTACAGTCTAACCAGACACCTAGATATTTGTAGTTGTCCACATACTCTAGGTCAGACCCGTCGAGTGTAGTGATTCTAGTCGGGTGGGCGGGTGCAAGCAGCGTTCGGTTGAAGAGCATGCATTTAGTTTTACTAGTGTTTAAGAGCAGTTGGAGGCTACTGAAGGAGTGTTGTATGGAATTGAAGCTCGTTTTGGAGGTTTGTTAACACAGTGTCCAATGAAGGGCCAGATGTATACAAAATGGTGTCGTCTGCGTAGAGGTGGATCTGAGAGTCACCAGCAGCAAGAGCGACGTCATTGATATACACAGAGAAAAGAGTCGGCCCAAGAATTGAACCCTGTGGCACCCCCATAGAGACTGCCATAGGTCCAGACAACAGGCCCTCCGATTTGACACATTGAACTCTATCTGAGAAGTAGTTGGTGAACCAGGCGAGGCAGTCATTTGAGAAACCAAGGCTATTTAGTCTGCCAATAAGAATGCGATGGTTGACAGAGTCGAAAGCCTTGGCCAGGTCAATGAAAACGGCTGCACAGTACTGTCTATTATCGATCGCGGTTATAATATCGTTTAGGACCTTGAGCGTGGCTGAAGTGCACCCATGACCAGCTCGGAAACCGGATTGCATAGCGGAGAAGGTACGGTGGGATTCGAAATGGTCGGTGATCTGTTTGTTGACTTGGCTTTCAAAAACTTTTGAAAGGCAGGGCAGGATGGATATGGGTCTGTAACAGTTTGGATCTAGAGTGTCACCCCCTTTGAAGAGGGGGATGACCGCGGCAGCTTTCCAATCTCTGGGGATCTCAGACGTTACGAAAGAGAGGTTGAACAGGCTAGTAATAGGGGTTGCGACAATTTCGGCGGCTAGTTTTAGAAAGAAAGGGTCCAGATTGTCTAGCCCAGATGATTTGTAGGGGTCCAGATTTTGCAGCTCTTTTAGAACATCAGCTGTCTGGATTTGTGTGAAGGAGAAGCGGGGGGGGCATGGGCAAGTTGCAGCGGAGGGTGCAGAGCTGGTGGCCGGGGTAGTGGTAGCCAGGTGGAAAGCATGGCCAGCCGTAGCAAAATGCTTGTTGAAATTCTCGATTATTGTAGATTTATCGGTGGTGATAGTGTTTCCTAGCCTCAGTGCAGTGGGCAGCTGGGAGGAAGTGCTCTTATTTTCCATGGACTTTACAGTGTCCCCAAAACTTTTTGGAGTTAGTGCTACATGATGCAAATTTCTGTTTGAAAAAGTTAGCCTTTGCTTTCCTAACTGCTTGTGTATATTGGTTCCTAACTTCCCTGAAAAGTTGCATATCGCGGGGGCTATTTGATGCTAATGCAGTACGCCACAGGATGTTTTTGTGCTGGTCAAGGGCAGTCAAGTCTGAGGAGAACCAGGGGCTATATCTGTTCTTAGTTCTGTATTTTTTGAATGGGGCATGTCTATTTAAGATTGAGAGGAAATTACTTTTAAAGAACAACCAGGCATCCTCTACTGACGGAATGAGATCTATATCCATCCAGGATACCTGGGCCAGGTCAATTAGGAAGGCCTGCTCGCTGAAGTGTTTTTGGGAGCGTTTGACAGTGATGAGGGGTGGTCGTTTGACCGCGGACCCGTTACGGACGCAGGCAATAAGGCAGTGATCGCTGAGATCCTGGTTGAAGACAGCGGAGGTGTATTTAGAGGGTAAGTTAGTCAGGATGATATCTATGAGGGTACCCATGTTTACGGATTTAGGGTTGTACCTGGTAGGTTCGTTGATAATTTGTGTGAGATTGAGGGCATCTAGTTTAGATTGTAGGATGGCCGGGGTGTTAAGCATATCCCAATTTAGGTCACCAAGCAGTACGAACTCTGAGGATAGATGGGGGGCAATCAATTCACATATGGTGTCCAGGGCACAGCTGGGGGCTGAGGGGGGTCTGTAGCAAGCGGCAACAGTGAGAGATTTATTTCTGGAAAGGTGGATTTTTAGAAGTAGAAGCTCAAACTGTTTGGGCACAGACCTGGATAGTATGATAGAGCTCTGCAGGCTATCTCTACAGTAGATTGCAACTCCACCCCCTTTGGCAGTTCTATCTAGACGGAAAATGTTATAGTTGGGGATGGAAATTTCAGAATTTTTGGTGGCCTTCCTAAGCCAGGATTCAGACACTGCTAGAACATCAGGGTTGGCGGAGTGTGCTAACGCAGTGAATAACTCAAACTTAGGAAGGAGGCTTCTGATATTTATGTGCAGAAAACCAAGACTTTTACGGTTACAGAAGTCAACAAATGATAGCTCCTGGGGAGTAGGAGTGATACTGGGGGCTGCAGGGCCTGGGTTAGCCTCTACATCACCAGAGGAACAGAGGAGGACTAGAATAAGGATACGACTAAAGGCTTTAAGAACTGGTCTTCTAGTGCGTTGGGTACATAGAATAAAGGGGGCAGTTTTCCGGGCGTTGTAGAAAAGATTCAGGGCATTATGTACAGAAAAGGATATGGAAGGATATGAGTACAGTTCAGGTAACCCTAAGCGTTGGGTAACAATGAAAGAGATAGCGTCATTGGAGGCACCGATTGAGCCGGTCTCGGCGTGTATAGGGGGTGGAACAAAGGAACTATATGAGGCAGTTTGAGAGGGACTAGGGGTTCTACAGTGAAATTGTATAATAAGAACTAACCCAAACAGCAATAGGCAAGGCATAATTGACATGGGAGAGAGGCATAAAGCAGTCACAGGTGTTATTAGAGAGAGCTAAGACAACAACTGGAAATAGCGATAACGTTTGGGCTAAGACTAAACAGAATAAACAGGACAGGGTACCGTGTAAAGGAACAGTCCAGCAGGCATCAGCTGTGCAGCTGAGTGATCATAAGGTCCAGTGAACAGCAATATGTGAGTCCGAGAGCAGTTCAAATTGGTGCTTCAGCACAGCTAGCAGGGAGCACAGTTGTAGTTTGCGTGTGCTAGCGGGCCGGGGCTGGCAGATGGATCTTCGTGGTCGTCGCAACTGGAAGCCTGATGAAACCACATCAGACTATTTCGTCGGCAAACCAGTCGTGTTGGATCGGCGGGGCTCAGTGTCAACACTAGGAGGTCCCGTCCGGTTGACAGAGAGGTAGATAGCCGGGAGATGGGCCTGAGGCTAGCTCAGGGCTAACTGGTGCTTGCTATAGGGCAATGGTAAATCAGCCACAACAGGTTGCAGCTAGCTAGCTGGTTGTGATGATCCGGCGCTAGGGTCCAGTGATTCCGGCAGAAAGTCCAATAAGCTCTGGGTCGATAGCACGCTGGGTCGATAGCACGCTGTGCAGACTGTCCGACGAATTGTCCAGGCTAGAGCTAGAGCTGGCTGGTGGATAGTGTAGGCCACGGACAGTGGGGAAGACGCTAACGGTGACTAATAACAGGTAGCCATTTAGTTGCGGCTACACTAGTATCAGCTTACGGTTCTTGATGAAAGTTATAAAGAAATAATAGAATCCTTTCCACGTTGGGTGAGGCGGGTTGCAGGAAAGTATATTTAGTTAAAGAATGAAAAGTAAAAATTGAGAGATATATACAAAATAGACAAAAAAAACAAGAAACGGGATATTTACACAGGACGATGAAATAAAAGCGACCGCACTGCTACGCCATCTTGGATCTTGGATCAAATGGTATTGTCTGTTCTATTATATCAATCTAAACCGTTATTTTCCAGTGATGAAGACATGGATGTCAGATGGTATGGTGGGGTATGCAAAATAGGTCAACTTTGAGCACCTTTATCTCTTGAATGTTTTGGCATTGAGGTCCAAAGAGTCACTTACTGAGCTCTTGTACAATGGGCAAATATGTTTGGAAGGTTTTGTTCAAATCCAAAGGGATGCTTTCAAAAAGGGATTGAATTCAAATGGATTTACCCCATACACATGTTGTACTGTTTTGGCTTGGCTGTGCTGAATTACCTATGACCTGCCACTGGGTGTAGGAACTGTCCTATGAGGAACAGGCTGATCAGCACTAAGGACAGAGGGAAACCCATTAGCTTCCTGACAACAACAATATGAGGATTTCAAAGCGCTGTGGCTCCAACAGGTATGTATTATTAGCTGATTCACCCTATTTATTAATAACCGGTAGCTATATGAAGACACTTGATATTGGAAACCCTGTTTTACAGAGTTCCAACTGCGTGCCTGATCACTCATTCAGTTGTTACTCAGTTATTATTAGGCAACTCTGTGTGCTTGCATGTACCTGTGTCAGGAATGAGCTCATGGTCATTTTATCATGCAGCCACAAATTTGTTTAGAAATTATAGCTTAATTTCCCTACCTGGCTCAGAAGAACACTGTAAATAACTTGTCCTAGAGGCATTATGTCATGTATGATATTATATTACATTTACATTTTAGTCATTTAGCAGACGCTCTTATCCAGAGCGACTTACAGGAGCAATTAGGGTTAAGTGCCTTGCTTAAGGGCACATCGACAGATTTTTCACCTAGTCGGCTCGGGGATTAGAACCAGCGACCTTTCGGTTACTGGCACAATGCGCTTACCCACTAAGCTACCTGCCGACCCCATATAAAGAAGCATTGTACTTGATGGACAAAGTAACAGTGAACATATTGTTCTTGCAGACGTTTCTTGGTGCCCTTGATGGTACTTGGGTTAATGATCTCACTGGCAGTTGTAACCCTTCATTGGTTTGATACTGACTCACAGATGCCTTTGGCATGCCACGTGGATCCCAACCACCGAAAGGTAAGGCCCTTAATCTATGTTTTAACCATTCTGCATTGCCTTTAAATTTTATTAGAGGGGCAATCTGTAGTTAAAATAATAACAACACTGAGGGATGGGGCTGGAGAAATGTAACCACTCTCAAATTCATAGGCAGGCTATGGTTGCAAGGACTAACCAAAATTATAGTTTTAACCATGTTTTGAGGCTATACAGTGTTTGTTTACAATTACATTGTTTACAAACAATGGAGTAAAACAAGCTTATATTTAGTGTTCTGATGGGGTGTATAGTTAAGTTGAACTAGCTCATGAGGCATTGATAAGTTATATTCTTCAATAATCATTGGGTCGATATCATGAATTGAAAAGTCCAAAAATGGATTTACCAATTGCAGATAGCCCCTTTTTAATGTGTTTCTTTTTAGTGGTGCATTTGATACAATTATGTGATCTTTCCAGCTTGTGCACTCTTTTGTACGGGACATTCTTTCAAACAAGTGCAGACCAGCCTTTGCCAGAAAGGGAGTGGAAGCAAGGCTCCAGATCTCTAGTCATGTGACTGATCCTTTCCTGTGGCGGGACACACCGCTGACTCCAGAAATGTTCATATACCCCCCACCATTCGGGTTCCGTGGCATGCGTGGCAAACTGAAGGATGTCCTCAACCTCCTCCCTGCTCCATCAGAGCAGCTGAAGAAGGAGTGCAGACGCTGTGTGGTCATGGGAAATGGAGGAATCCTCCGTGGCCTGGAGCTTGGCACCCTGCTTGACCAGTTTGATGTTGTCATTAGGTGAGAATACAGTCCCGTGTAGCTCAGTTGGTAGAGCATGGTGTTTGCAACGCCAGGGTTGTGGGTTCGTTTCCCACGGGGGAACCAGTATGAAAAAAATATGTATGCACTCACTAACTGTAAGTCGCTCTGGATAAGAGCGTCTGCTAAATGACTAAAATGTAAAATACCTGCTTTGTGCAACTGGATTTTCAAATGGCTCTTCTCTAGACCAGGCAGTGGATTCACCTTTGACCAGCAATGTTTTGTTAATCAAGATTAAGATCACTTTATTGGTCAATTGCATACAAGGTCTAACCATCATTTGACTTCTGCTTTTAACCCAACCCCTCCATAAGACACACATACAGTACACACACACATACAGTTGAAGTCGGAAGTTTACATACACTTAGGTTGGAGTCATTAAAACTCGTTTTTCAACTACTCCACACATTTCTTGTTAACAAACTATAGTTTTGGCAAGTCGGTTAGGACATTTACTTTGTGCATGACACAAGTACATTTTCCAACAATTGTTTACAGACAGATTATTTCACTTAAAATTCACTGTATCACAATTCCAGTGGGTCAGAAGTTTACATACACTAAGTTGACTGTGCCTTTAAACAGCTTGGGAAATTCCAGAAAATGATGTCATGGCTTTAGAAGCTTCTGATAGGCTAATTGACATCATTTGAGTCAATTGGAGGTGTACCTGTGGATGTATTTCAAGGCCTACCTTCAAACTCAGTGCCTCTTTGATTGACATCATGGGAAAATCAAAAGAAATCAGCCAAGACCTCAAAAAAATAATTGTAGACCTCCACCAGTCTGGTTCATCCTTGGGAGCAATTTCCAAACGCCTGAAGGTACCACGTTCATCTGTACAAACAATAGTACGCAAGTATAAACACCATGGGACCACGCAGCCGTCATCCTGCTAAGGAAGGAGACGCGTTCTGTCTCATAGAGATAAACGTACTTTGGTGCGAAAAGTGCAAATCAATCCCAGAACAACAGCAAAGGACCTTGTGAAGATGCTGGAGGAAACAGGTACAAAATGATCTATATCCACAGTAAAACTAGTCCTATATCGACATAACCTGAAAGGCCGCTCAGCAAGGAAGAAGCCACTGCTCCAAAACCGCCATAAAAAAGCCAGACTACGGTTTGCAACTGCACATGGGGACAAAGATCGTACTTTTTGGAGAAATGTCCTCTGGTCTGATGAAACAAAAATAGAACTGTTTGGCCATAATGACCATCGTTATGTTTGGAGGAAAAAGGGGAAAGCTTGCAAGCCGAAGAACACCATCCCGACCGTGAAGCACGGGGGTGGCAGCATCGTGCTGTGGGACTGTTCACTCTATTAAATGTAAATGTAAATGTGGGGTGCTTTGCTGCAGGAGGGACTGGTGCACTTAACAAAATAGATGGCATCATGAGGAAGGAATATTATGTGTATATATTGAAGCAACATCTCAAGACATCAGTCAGGAAGTTAAAGCTTGGTCGCAAATGGGTCTTCCAAATGGACAATGACCCCAAGCATACTTCCAAAGTTGTGGCAAAATGGCTTAAGGACAACAAAGTCAAGGTATTGGAGTGGCCATCACAAAGCCCTGACCTCAATCCTATATAAAATGTGTGGGCAGAACTGAAAAAACATGTGCGAGCAAGGAGGCCTACAAACCTGACTCAGTTACACCAGCTCTGTCAGAAGGAATGGGCCAAAATTCACCCAACTTATTGTGGGGGGCTTGTGGATGGCTACCTGAAACGTTTGACCCAAGTTAAACAACTTAAAGGCAATGCTACCAAATACTAATTGAGTGTATGTAAACTTCTGACCCACTGGGAATGTGATGAAAGAAATAAAAGCTGAAATAAAGTGGTGATCCTAACTGACCTAAGACAGGGAATTTTTACTAGGAATAAATGTCAGGAATTGTGAAAAACAGAGTTTAAATGTATTTGGCTAAGGTGTATGTAAACTTCCGACTTCAACTGTATACAGGCTTTGGAGAGGTGCGGGGGGCTGCCACACTGGGCAACCGGGGAGCAGTTGTTGTGGGGGGTTAAGTTCTTTGCTCAAGGGCACAACGGCAGGCAATGGCATCTAGGATTTGATACCAGCAACCCTCAGGTTGCCAGCTCACTTCCCGGCAGATTTTCCCCTTCTGACCCGGGATTCGAACTGGAAACCCTCCGGTTGCTGGCTCGCTTCTCTAACCGTTAGGTTACCTGCCGCCCCCTGCCGCTTATCAACACGATGAGACTTTTCTGTGGAACAGAAGTCATCACTATAATAATATCATTTCTAAGTGAGAAGGGTAGAACTTCTATAGTATATACTTGTAAGAGATTGCTGATTCATCCAAAGAGTGAATGATTACATGAGTGGACCTCTGTCACAATGTTGACATTCTGTTCACTGCTCCACAGGCTAAATAGTGGTCCTTTGAGGAACTACAGTAAAGATGTGGGGAACCGGACCTCCATCCGGATGAGCTACCCAGAGGGAAGCCCCAAGGTCTGGGAGGATGTGGACCCTGAGCTGCAGTTTGTGGCGGTGGTCTACAAGGCTGTAGACTTCAAGTGGATCAGAGCAATGATCAACAGACAAAGAGTTGTAAGTTGCAAAGCCCACCACCGGAAACATTAACAAAATATGAATTTAAAGACACAGAATGAAATCTGGTAATGTTTAGGCCTAGTTGTTGAATTTTTAATAAGGAGCACAGACATGGCTGAGCGATTTGAAATGCAAATTCAGACCCTGCCTACTCCTTTACCTAACATCAGATTTGTTTTTATTTCAGTCACTTTGGGACTGGCTGTTTTTCTGGCAGAAGGTGCCAGAGGAGATTCCAGTAGACTTATCAAAGTTCCGTATGTTGAATCTGGAGATCATCAGGCAGATGGCGATGGATCTGTTGGCCTTCCCCTCCCCACAGTCACGCCTCTGGGGCTGGGACCAGGTCAGACAACCTTTCACCAGTTACACCATTACACAGAAGACTTACAAAACATTTTCATACCCTAACTAACCTGAAATAAATGGAACAAAATGAAAAGGCTTGACGTATAGGCATAATGGGGCTGTTTTGGAAGAGGTCTCTACTAGTCGGATATTCTATGCACATAATCATCCCAGTTGGTAGAATGTTTATCTTGCCAGGGGATGGCAGACTCTATTGACTGTTCACATTGTGGGCATAAAAAAATGTGTCTATACCTTTTCTGTAAACTGATTGCTGCTGGCTGCTAGCACAACAATCTTTACCTGGAACACCTGTTTCTTTGGCCCAAGAGAAGACTGTGCCTGTTTTCAAATACATTTTGTATTCACGGTTCTCTATACCTTGTTGACATTGTTTGCTCTCCTCTTTGTGCAGAACGTGCCCACCATGGGCATCTCAGCCCTCAACCTGGCCACCTACCTGTGTGACGAGGTCAGCCTAGCAGGCTTTGGCTACAACCTCAGCCAGAAGGAGATGCCATTGCATTACTATGACAATATACCCATGACAGCTATGCTGGAGCAGAACATGCACAACGTGGCCCGTGAGAGGGCTCTCCTCCAGAGCCTGGTGAGGGAAGGGACTGTATCAGACCTTACAGGGGGCCTTCACTGCACTTTCTGCCCCAGCTGAAAGAGACTGTTTGTGGCCTGCAGCGTAGCTAGCTGCACACCAACGATCTACCTTCCCACTGGCTTATCATTCCAATACTTTTCACCCTGAGAACAGCGTTCTGATTTAATTCCATGGAATTCAAAAAGTTGATTGAGTCTATGAATCTGGGGACTTGACTGCAAACTCTATGTCCTAGTGCATGCCAGCATGTTGAATCTGCATGGACTAGATGTGTCCAACATGATGGGGAACAGTGAAGCTGTGCACTTCTGAAGCAGTACTAGTACAGCTTTTACAAATCCCTCTGTAATGAGAGTATTATCGCTGCTAAACTTAAATATGTTTTTTGTATTTATTAAGAGCTAATTGATCATTACTAATAAGATCTTAGCATAAAGTTAATGCTAAAAAGTGTAAAAACATTTCCATAAATATTGTGAAGTATGAATTAACACTACCTTTGTTATTTTTTTATGGTTTCGATTTTAAGTTGAATGTACAGTTTGTCCACGAGATGTCTGAACTTGGTTGTGTTTTTAAATTTTTCTAATGTAATCATTAGATTCGTTTTTATTATAATAATCACTTTCACTGATTCCTTCCAAACCACTCATTGTTGAATTTGTGATTTCCAACTTGTGTAATGTTTATGTCCAATGGCCGATGAGCACCGATATGTTTTATCTATAATTTCTTCATTATTTCTCTTCAAATGACAAGGATTAAAAAGGATTTGCCAGTAGATTGTCGACTTGATTCATGATGATGACTGCTAGCTAAGATTTCGAAAGTATGTTGTTGACATGATCAGTCCAAGCAAAGCTACTGTTGATATAATGTGATTTGACTTCATTTTCTGTGGCCAATGACCTTGAGCCTTCATGGGTGGGCACTTCTAATTTAACTCTCTGGCATCACCCAAGGGGCTTGAATTTTCGAGCTCTACCCTTAGACTTGGCGGTGACGTACTGTCCCCACGAGTGACAGAACACTGAGCTAATCATGGCGCAACTAGAGAACATTACCAACACCTACTCTCCGTATTTTCCACTGGCTGCCCCACCACCACAGAAGGCACTGAGCTAGGCTGAAACACCTGCATTTTGTAGCTGCCTTACTCAAGAAAGCAAAAAAGAGACCATTTTTTAATGGGTTTTATTAACTCAATTATTATTATTATTATTTACATTGTTTGCAAACTGATATGTGACATGTATTAATGACAAAATAACATGCAAAACAGGCAAGCTAAAAATGTGGGGCTCAAAACAGGTGGGGCTCTGCCCCATCTGCCCTGAATGACGGGTCGCCACTGATAATAATATATGTTCTATGTGCTTGACTTGGACTGAGATAGGAGCCGGTACTGTTTATATATAGGTGCAGGAGCTCCACAATACTTTTCAAGCTACTATTCTATAAGAGGAACATGCGCTCAAGCAGTGGAACATTTGAGGTGCCGGCACTCAGCTCCGGTGAGCTCCTGCCCAAATCAAGCACTTTTTGTTCTGTGGTTACAACATGATTTTGCTTGATACATTTATTTAAAATTGATTGTTTTGTTTTTTAATGTCACCATAATTGGCCTGGTTGTTAGTAAAGAAAAAAGATTTGGACTTACAGTATGAATGACTGACATTTTATTTTCGTGTCAAATCGCCAGTTGGCAACCAATCCCTTACAGGATTAATTGACACATAAACAAACATTACGATAATTCAGTAATAATTATTCCGGTGTTCTGTGCAGTGTGCACCGCATAAAGAGTGAAAAAGAAATCAATACATAATAGTAAATAAGGTTATCCAAGCTATAATTGTATCCCTAAAGCAGGAAAAATAATACTCAACCCAGTCAGGCATTCAAGTGGGAGACAGGCCTACACACAACCTATATACATATGTGCCATTTGCTATATAGGAGCTAAATATTTGTATAATTTTTAATTGTAGGTCGCCGTTTTTCATTTATTCCGGGCTTTATCAAAAAATTCTGCAAACAGAAATACACAATGGACAGTTTCTCCTCATGGCTCAGCCACATAATATCAGGGTATATCTGGTGTGCTTTCTGGAATAAGGACAAGCGTATATCGTGGTAGAAAGGGCCATAGAGGATCAAATTAATTGAATTCTCCATTTCATCGAGGTCACAATAGTTACATAGTCTTTACCTCTTCCATTTCACCACAACACTGACCTGTTTCAAAACGCAGGGTCAATATCCCTGATCTTACCTGTGCACATAGCGATCTCTTGCTTATACAGTGGGGAAAGAAAGTATTTAGTCAGCCACCAATTGTGCACGTTCTCCCACTTAAAAAGATGAGAGAGGCCTGTAATTTTCATCATAGGTACACGTCAACTATGACTATCACATTGTAGGATTTTTTAGGAATTTATTTGCAAATTATGGTGGAAAATAAGTATTTGGTCAATAACAAAAGTTTCTCAATACTTTGTTATATACCCTTTGTTGGCAATGACACAGGTCAAACGTTTTCTGTAAGTCTTCACAAGGTTTTCACACACTGTTGCTGGTATTTTGGCCCATTCCTCCATGCAGATCTCCTCTAGAGCAGTGATGTTTTGGGGCTGTCGCTGGGTAACACGGACTTTCAACTCCCTCCAAAGATTTTCTATGGGGTTGAGATCTGGAGACTGGCTAGGCCACTCCAGGACCTTGAAATGCTTCTTACGAAGCCACTCCTTCGTTGCCCGGGCGGTGTGTTTGGGATCATTGTCATGCTGAAGGACCCAGCCATGTTTCATCTTCAATGCCCTTGCTGATGGAAGGAGGTTTTCACTCAAAATCTCACGATACATGGCCCCATTCAATCATTCCTTTACACGGATCAGTCGTCCTGGTCCCTTTGCAGAAAAACAGCCCCAAAGCATGATGTTTCCACCCCCATGCTTCACAGTAGGTATGGTGTTCTTTGGATGCAACTCAGCATTCTTTGTCCTCCAAACACGACGAGTTGAGTTTTTACCAAAAAGTTCTATTTTGGTTTCATCTGACCATAAGACATTCTCCCAATCCTCTTCTGGATCATCCAAATGCACTCTAGCAAACTTCAGACGGGCCTGGATATGTACTGGCTTAAGCAGGGGGACATGTCTGGCACTGCAGGATTTGAGTCCCTGGCGGCGTAGTGTGTTACTGATGGTAGGCTTTGTTACTTTGGTCCCAGCTCTCTGCAGGTCATTCACTAGGTCCCCCTGTGTGGTTCTGGGATTTTTGCTCACCTTTCTTGTGATCATTTTGACCCCACGGGGTGAGATCTTGCGTGGAGCCCCAGATCGAGTGAGATTATCAGTGGTCTTGTATGTCTTCCATTTCCTAATAATTGTTCCCACAGTTGATTTCTTCAAACCAAGCTGCTTACCTATTTCAGATTCAGTCTTCCCAGCCTGGTGCAGGTCTACAATTTTGTTTCTGGTGTCCTTTGACAGCTCTTGGGTCTTGGCCATAGTGGAGTTTGGAGTGTGACTGTTTGAGGTTGTGGACAGGTGTCTTTTATACTGATAACAAGTTCAAACAGGTGCCATTAATACAGGTAACGAGTGGAGGACAGAGGAGCCTTTTAAAGAAGAAGTTACAGGTCTGCGAGAGCCAGAAATCTTGCTTGTTTGTAGGTGACCAAATACTTATTTTCCACCATCATTTGCAAATAAATTCATAAAAAATCCTAAAATTTGATTTTCTGGATTTTTTTTCCTCAATTTGTCTGTCATAGTTGACATGTACCTATGATGAAAATTACAGGCCTCTCTCATCTTTTTAAGTGGGAGAACTTGCACAATTGGTGGCTGACTAAATACTTTTTCCCCCCACTGTAGGTAGGTTGTACATAATATCTCTCAAACATGAATTCACCCTTAATCAAACAAAAGGTTCTCAATTTGGGTTTAGGATTTATCTCCTCCACTCATTTATTTTCATATTGCATCATCAGTTGTTTTTTAATAGCATCTATGTCTCCCTTCATTTGGTTTTCATGCAAATGTTCACAGTCAGACTGTTGGAAGATGTCAGACATTTCAGTTGCCCATGCTCCCCCTATGGAGAGATCCCATTGAAAAACTTTGCTGGCTATTCTGGCAATTTGCATGTCCAACAGTTAATTCCAAAGTCTCACATTTACATTTACAATTACAGTAAGGGAAAAAAGTATTTGATCCCCTGCTGATTTTGTACGTTTGCCCACTGACAAAGACATGACCAGTCTATAATTTTAATGGTAGGTTTATTTGAACAGTAAGAGACAGAATAACAACAACAAAATCCAGAAAAACGCATGTCAAAAATGTTATAAATTGATTTGCATTTTTAATGAGGGAAATAAGTATTTGACCCCCTCTCAATCAGAAAGATTTCTGGCTCCCAGGTGTCTTTTATACAGGTAACGAGCTGAGATTAGGAGCACACTCTTAAAGGGAGTGCTCCTAATCTCAGCTTGTTACCTGTATAAAAGACACCTGTTCACAGAAGCAATCAATCAATTAGATTCCAAACTCTCCACCATGGCCAAGACCAAAGAGCTCTCCAAGGATGTCAGGGACAAGATTGTTGACCTACACAAGGCTGGAATGGTCTACAAGACCATCGCCAAGCAGCTTGGTGAGAAGGTGATAACAGTTGGTGCGATTATTCGCAAATGGAAGAAACACAAAATAACTGTCAATCTCGTGGAGTTGTAATGATCATGAGAACGGTGAGGAATCAGCCCAGAACTACACAGGAGGATCTTGTCAATGATCTCAAGGCAGCTGGGACCATAGTCACCAAGAAAACAATTGGTAACACACTACGCCGTGAAGGACTGAAATCCTGCAGCGCCCGCAAGGTCCCCCTGCTCAAGAAAGCACATATACAGTCCCGTCTGAAGTTTGCCAATGAACATCTGAATGATTCAGAGGAGAACTGGGTGAAAGTGTTGTGGTCAGATGAGACCAAAATGGAGCTCTTTGGCATCAACTCAACTCGCCGTGTTTGGAGGAGGAGGAATGCTGCCTATGACCCCAAGAACACCATCCCCACGTCAAACATGGAGGTGGAAACATTATGCTTTGGGGGTGTTTTTCTGCTAAGGGGACAGGACAACTTCACCGCATCAAAGGGACGATGGACGGGGCCATTGGGTGAGAACCTCCTTCCCTCAGCCAGGGCATTGAAAATGGGTCATGGATGGGTATTCCAGCATGACAATGACCCAAAACACACAGCCAAGGCAACAAAGGAGTGGCTCAAGAAGAAGCACATTAAGGTCCTGGAGTGGCCTAGCCAGTCTCCAGACCTTAATCCCATAGAACATCTGTGGAGGGAGCTGAAGGTTCGAGTTGCCAAACGTCAGCCTCGAAACCTTAATGACTTGGAGAAGATCTGCAAAGAGGAGTGGGACAAAATCCCTCCTGAGATGTGTGCAAACCTGGTGGCCAACTATAAGAAACGTCTGACCTCTGTGATTGCCAACAAGGGTTTTGCCACCAAGTACTAAGTCATGTTTTGCAGAGGGGTCAAATACATATTTCCCTCATTAAAATGCAAATCAATTTATACAATTTTTGACATGCATTTTTCTGGATTTTGTTGTTGTTATTCTGTCTCTCACTGTTCAAATAAACCTACCATTAAAATTATAGACTGATCATGTCTTTGTCAGTGGGCAAACGTACAAAATCAGCAGGGGATCAAATACTTTTTTCCCTCACTGTACATCATTTAGCAGACGCTCTTATCCAGAGCGACTTACAAATTGGTGCATTCAACTTATGCCAGTGGGACAACCACTTTATTTTTTATGGGGGGAGGGGGTGGGGGATTACTGTTATACTATTCCAGGTATTCCTTAAAGAGGTAGGGTTTCAAGTGTCTCCGGAAGGTGGTCAGTGACTCCGCTGTCCTGGCGGAGTCACCATACACACCTTCCATCTCACTTCACAGGGTTCCCAGCCCATGTCCCAGTTATTTCCAGTATATTATGCAAACTTGTGGATACCTAAAAAAAACAACGTACTACTCTGTTATGGACATGTTCATTTTTTTGATACCTCTTAGCACCCCACACTCCTGCTGAATAGGCCAGAACAGGACACACGCATGTCTGATACAGTTTGGAATACGTAGCATAACCGATATCTTTGAGTGTTTTTGTTTTTCCTATAACTCCCCCAAGAGCTCTACTTGCTGAGTCGGCCAGGGCAGATGTTCCGTCTAGAAAGGTCATATGTACATCAAAATAAAGACCCAAATATTTATAATTGCTAGTAACCTCGAATTTCTTCACCAAAACAAAACTGAAAAACACTTCTCTTGGTACCTGGTTTTCTGGTTAATCATGAGTCTCCATCTTTTGCACCAATTGACTGTACATAACATTGTTCAGTTTCTGCCATCAAAATAATATAATCAGCATATAAGAGGATATCTAAAATGTAATCGTCATATCTTACTCCAATATTGAACTGTTTAATTTATTTTGCCAAATAATTCATAAACATAGCAAACAGAGTCTGTGATAAGGCGTCTCCTTGTTTTACACCCGAGGGTGTGGGAAACCAATCTGTACCATGTTCATTAACACACAGGCAGTTGGTGCTTTGTAGAGAGACTGGATTGCGTGATAAAATTTCCCAGCAACCCTGTCTTTATCAACTATAGGCTAAAATATCCCTTAAACAATGTACATTTGTCATGGAACATATCGGAACCCTTTTCGTTTGCCTTTGTAGTAGACCAGAGTGGTTCAATCCCCCTGCAGTAATTCTATTCTTCCATTAGATGGAGTGGGAAGTACTGTAGTCTACTACATGTGTCATACATTAGGGCTTCAAAAACATGTTTTGATCATCCCAAGCTCCTGTTCCAGCGCAGGATTAGTTCTATAGTCTATAATGATTAAGATTAGAATTGATATGTGGGTTTTGGATGTTCGCCCAGGTCAAGTTTTTCCTAGGGTCCCAAACTAGTAAACATATCCCCTTCTATTCCTCTTTATTTCATAAATAATGTTATCTTTATCATGATGGGAATATTCAGCGTCATTTTGGAAATGTACTTCACCCTGTAGGCTATTTTTCTTTTTATTTAAAGAGAGCACATTGTTAAACAATCTTTAAAATTGAACATTTAATAAGTGAAATCTACACATTCAACAATTCAAATAGCTGGATTTTTATATTTTCACAGTCTTCTTACAATCTAACGGGTGAACGGCTGACTTCAAATGAGATTGATTCCTGGCCTCCACAGCTTGCTTTCCATTCGCTCTGCCTCTTTTTTCCAGACAGACAGAAGTTGTATATACAGGATACTGGTGTTTCCTCTCCGGCTCCAGACCCAATTTGAAGGACTGTAAAAGCCTGAACGGTTTCCAGCTTCCAAAGCTTAGCGGCACTAGAAGAAAACAGATTGCTCTCACTGACAGTGTGCTCTGGTAAATACTTTGAGAACCAGGTTTTCCTGTTGCTAAATGTTGTTAGACCTACTATTAATTTATATAAAAGATCTACTATTAATTAAAATTCTCCTCTCTTTATGAGAAGTGGAAGTAAAGTACTTATTTTCTTGATAATACAACACATGGGCCCTTTATTACATTATAATTAAGTGAATCTATTAGAATACATTTGCAATTACATCTGTGACTTTTGTTCCCCTTTAGAAAAGTAAGTTATTTTATTTGAATATGTTTTAATTGATAATGTAAAGAAAGTACTTTGTTGAAAAGGCACAAGGTAATGTAATGCAGAACAACATAATTCAATCCTCTCCGTTGACCTTTGGATGCAGTACCCTATGCAAATAGCCTATACAAATTACCATTACATATTTTTGAGCAGTCTCCAAATTCTATTAAATGGACTGGAAAATACTGATCGATTATCTTGTAGGCCATCAACAGTGGTGATCTTGACAAGTCCTCACGGGATGTCCTTCCTATGACTTGCCTCAAAAAGACTTATTGTAGTCTAGGATTAAGAGAACCCATAATAACACAGGAGCACATCAAGATTTACTCACACGAGGTAGATTCAGATAGAAAATGAAATGACTTTCTGTCATGATCCTCTTCATAATTACAACTTTGTTTCGAGGGAAGCTCGACAGCTGCTATGAGCTGTTTAAAGGTGTAGTGTATGATTCTTGTGTGAGATTTAGGTTGGCAGTACTTGAGATAGTGATTTAAAGATGTTAGAGGTGTTTAATGATCATGGATATCCATTCAAATAAATTAACAACAGTTCCTTTATTTTTGGTTAAAAAGTACTTGATGAGCACACAACAGTCAGAGATTTGTCATTAGAAAGGGCCAGCTGAAAGGGAAAAGGAGGTCACTTTTAAATGTTTTTAAATACTGAGCTCAGGTAGCAGACAATAACCAATTTTACCTCATTCATACTTCAACACATAAAAAGAGTTGGAATAAAATACCATTACTGTGTCATTTCAAGTTATGTTGTAATCAAATATATGTTACTAGCACTTTCACTAGTTACTGTAGCTTCCATCAAGCAGGAATTACCAATCATACTGTCAACAAAAACAACAACTTGTATGTCATTGAAAAGGCATTGGGGTTCATAGTTGAATAAAACTGTTATAATCACTGTTATAATTACTGCTGTCTCTGCCTCCAATTGTCATATGATTGAACAATCTGATGTCATCCACCAGGCATGTTTGCTTGTTTGCTTAAAGAACATCCAATGCTGTCTCCCACTTTTAACTGTTCAAACATAAACCGAATTAGATTCATTCCAATTCATGACAGGCAGAAACATATCCATAACTGGAGATTCTTGATATTTTTGCTAGCTCAACAGGTATCAAGTAGGCCTATGAAATTAGGTCCATCATACTGTATGTCTAAGTGATTGGTTGTAGTCTCCTCCAGGAGTGGCCTTGAATAACCTCAATAACAGCTGTGAAGAGTTTATTTTGTTCAAGGGCCTTGTTATAAAGTCTGGCTCACTCCACCGATGCTGTGAGAATTTTACTCCTATAAAAAGACATAAAAGCATGTATCAAGCATTGAAAACAATCTCCTGTGGGTGCATATCAAGAGGTGGTGGGATGCATACAAATAGAACTGTAAAAATAAAGCATGCATATCCGATGACTTCATAGGTGCCGAGTTGTCTATGTAAATACAAGGGGTAGAAGAATATAACCCATTCCAGTAAAGGAACTGCTTGGTCAGATCAGATGCAGCATAGAACTGAGTGGGCCACAACAACATTCTTTCACCCTCTCTTTAGCGTTGGATGCAAACCAACCAAAACATTTTCCTTATTGTGTTTCTACAAAGAGACAGATCCTTCTTTCCCATCTTTAACACATGCTAGGGAATTTTAACATTTGTTTATGACTTGATGCTGTCAGTTTTTGTTGAAGACTTGACTTTTAAAACTTAACTGTTTAGTGTTTATGATTCCATTTCCATTTTAAATGTTATTGAAAAAGAGTTCCAACAAGTAGACACTAAGTGAATTCAGAGCAGAGTTCAGGGCTTTAAACAAGCGCAGGAATAAGTTCTAAATGTCTTTAATCAGTATGCATTTTATCCCCTCAAAAGTTTCCCCTTAGACTCACTGGCTCTCTCTGACAAAGGGATTTCTTTCTTACAGAGCCCACCCCTCTCTCCCCCTGCCTCCCTCTCTCCCCCTCCCTCTCTCTCCCTCGCTCTCCCCGGCCTCTGTAACAGCTGCTGCTCAGTGCTGTATCCTGAGAGAGTGATGATCAGTGTATTTTTTTTTCAAAGTGTTTTTTTGGAACAGATGGCCAGGGGAGAACTGGGGAATGTGCCAGCACCGCACTGGGGAATGTGCCAATTCCTGTAGCGAGTGAGTTCTCTGGGCTCCAGCTCGCGTGCCTTCACCCTGCCCTCTGCCCTGAGTGGCGCCAGCAGGACTTCCCAACTAGCGTTACGAACATCTGGTGTCTGGGACTGCCAGGAAAACAACCGTTCAGCTATTGAATGTGCTTTATGCTAGGGAAACACATTAGCTCCCAGTGAGGGAAAGAGAGCTAGAGTGAGCAGAGAACTGGGAGTGCAGGGAAAAGTTACATGCATGTAATTATGTTGGATATGTAATCTATGAACAAACACCTAATTCACCATTGTGTTATTTTAGACAACTTTTCTTTTCTTTTTTTCTTTAAGAAGTGTTTAAAATGTTTGCATCAACCTTTTAAAGTTTGATGTAATTTGCAATTTACAAAATGTATAGATTAGAATAGCTCTTTCAAGTTAAATACAATTTGTAAGTTGTTTTATTTTTTGCTAATCAATACTTTAATGAATATTCAGGGTAATCAACCTATTATATGATGTTCCTATGTTATGTTATGAGTTTTGGCAATAGGTGAACAGTCGCTGTAATCCTCTAGTACGTTTCCCAAATGACATTTAAAACATTAAATTACATTACTTTCCAGATATGACTAAAAGTGTGTTTAAAATGTAGATTCAATTATAATGTTGTTTCACCATGAAAGATGGGAGGAAAGGGGGGGGGAATGGATGAGAGGGTAACAGAAGAATCTGGAGAATAAATGAGAGAGATGAAGTGACAGAGGAGAGGACTGACAGGGGACAGATGAAGAACTGGGAGGAGGAGAGGTCTGACAGGGGACAGATGAAGAACTGAGGAGGAGAGGACTGAAAGGAGACAGATGAAGAACTGGGAGGAGGAGAGGTCTGACAGGGGACAGATGAAGAACTGAGGAGGAGAGGACTGAAAGGGGACAGATTAAGAACTGGGAGGAGGAGAGGACTGAAAGGGGACAGATTAAGAACTGGGAGGAGGAGAGGACTGAAAGGGGACAGATTAAGAACTGGGAGGAGGAGAGGACTGAAAAGGGACAGATTAAGAACTGGGAGGAGGAGAGGTCTGAAAGGGGACAGATTAAGAACTGGGAGGAGGAGAGGACTGAAAGGGGACAGATTAAGAACTGGGAGGAGGAGAGGTCTGACAGGGTACAGATGAAGAACTGAGGAGGAGATGACTGACAGAGGACAGATGAAGAATTGGAGGGAGAGTAATTGATAGAACAGTGTTAAGAGGTTAAATGTGTAAATGAACGTTCTCCATACTTGGGTCTCATCCATGCATTAAAAACCTTGTTGATTTATAGAGAGGCCATGGAGACGTGTGGATCCAGAAGAGAGCTGGAGGAAGTTCAGCCTCAGTTTACATGACTCCCAGTGTCATAAAACACAAAGGCATCAATCACCCCTTTTATTCACCAGGGGCACTTTTTATTCTGTTCTGGACAAGAAACTGGCAAAACACCCAGTTCCCTTTCAAACACGAGTTGATGATGATTTAATTGAATGGGATTCTTAGTAGGCAAAGGAATGGCCTTCTTAATTGGAGAGAGTGTTCTTCCCTCTTTTGTTGTTGTTATTGTTAGAAATACCATCCCTCTGTCTGTCACACTGCCCCATGTTTTTCTATTTGCAGCTTCCTGATAAGTCAAAGGGAAGTTTTTGCTGTATCGCATTAGTGGATAGGGCAGATCTGCCGGTTTTGACTAGCAGAAGTGACTTTACGTGGCAGGTTAGGAGAAGTTACGCAGCAGGTTATCTTTCAGATACAAAGACCCAACTGACTGGAATAATTTACCTATAGAAATCAGGGCATTAAAATCAAAATGTTTGTATTATAACTAATAGAAACATCACCATGTGAAGATATTTGTAAATATGTATGTATATATTATAGGTACTTAGTTTTATTAGTTGTATTAGTAGTTGTAGCACTAGTTTTATTAGTAATTGTAGCAGTAGTTTTATTAATTGTATTAGTAGTTGTAGCAGTAGTTGTATTAGTAGGTGTTATTACTTGTAGGCCTATTAGTAGTTGTACAACAACTTGAAAACGAGATGGTGCATCTCAAGAGATTTCATCCTGCAAAATGTCAAATAGAATAAATAAATAACGTGATTCTGCTAAGTTTTCAATGCTGTGATGTCATCAATTTACCAGTCATTCTAAAATGTCTTATAGATTTGTTAGCACGTGACATGACAGTGTAGGAGGAGAGATGTTAAACTAGCAGAAAGAAAAGCTCCATTCATTTAGCTTTATTTTAAAGTCAAATATCCATGACCAATTATTTCATTGGTCTTGTATGGTCACCTGTTGCTCTTTATCAATGGCCTTGTTTATAAGCATAGTTGAATCCACTGAAATATGTTTCATGTTATTGATATGCTATATTGCAATAAACACGTTTGAAGGAGAAGCTGGCTTTGACTTGGCTTTCCATTCCCTCTCTGTAACTACTGATGCCTCAGAGGCCTTGCTCTTCTTTTGATAGCCTTGAACTTTAAAGCAAACTTATTGCAATGCCTCAGCAATGTCTCCAAATGTGTGCTTGAGTACTTTTCACTTGCAGGAGTCCATTTTCATGTCAATGTCTCACCCCACCTAGTCATTGCTGCATGAGGCCTTCAGCCAAATAACACATGCACAGGATAAAATCTCAGGCCAGACCATCGTCGGACAGTAGCCTAAATACTGCATCCCCCTCCCTCCTCCTCTTCCCTAGATCCAATTTACCTTTCTCTTCTTGGAGCGTCCCTCAGCCTGCAGGGTGCGGGTGCACTGCTCCACACACTCTCTGAAGCTCATGTTGCCATGATCTGGGGTGTAGTCCAGGTCTGCCAGCTGAGCCAGCGACAGGATGTAGTTACAGGCAATTCTTAATATAGCCAGCTTTGACAACTTCTGTCCATAGGAGTAGCAGGGCACCTGTATAGGGTTAAAGTTTGATTAGGTTAAAGAGGCCCATCATACTGATATGAGACGATGGTAGAACCAAGCTGAGGACGTTTTCAGTTAGGCTATGGTATACATGTTCGAGATACTATTGCTGGTGTCAGGTGACCGTTTTCCACCATATCTTTCTAAGTGCCAAAGCAGCTGGTGATGACATGACGCAGTAAAAAGGGTTCACAACGACAACTTCCCTGATTTTGTTTTCAAAGGATTGATATTCCATGTTGGATTTGGTCAACTAAGAGATAGCTGTAGTTGACATTGATATTTCATATTACACCTACTAGTAACAGACCTACTGGAGTTAATAGAGTGTGAAGAGCTTTGTCATTAACAAACCTGTTCCCTGTTTCATATGCATTCAACATATTTTTCTGTCATTATGAGAGGTGTCATGTGGATATGATTTGCACTGATATTTTTGTTGCATATAAAATGACATGAATAGACTATTACATAGGCCTACAGAAGGGGAACATGTTTTTTGGGGGCCGGCCAAATAATTGTGTATGTAGAACAGTTTGGACTGACATGTCTTACAGACTGTTCTTTCTCATATCTTTAATGTAGCAAACGGAGCACATATTTTGAACATAATGTCAATAATACCAAATTGTAAATTATTGACACTCAAATTCATTTAATAAACTATCTATAGAAGGGGCCATACAATTTATACTCAAGTGGGCTATATTAGCCTACATTCATACTCAAGTAGGCTATATTATTATTCATAATTTCCATATCTCCATACAGTGGCATACTGAAATGGGCATGTAAATGCAACTAGTTACTCTTAGCTCAGATTAACATCACATTCTGAACAAGAGGCATCATTGTACAGATTGTTTGTTTAGTGAATTCAGTGTTAATACCTGCTTTCTCAGCGCCTCAAAGGCTGCACTGATGGTGTGCACCCGGGTCCTCTCTCTGGCATTCGCCAGTAGCCTCCGTGTCTGCTGAACGGCTTTGATCTCAGTGACGACGCCAGAAGTTTCTGCTAGCCGTTTCCTTGGCGATTCAACCGGGTCGCTGCTATTGATGTAGGCGGTCTGAGAGGCTGAGGAGAGGGACTTCTCGGAGCGCTGGCACAGGACGATCCGGGACTGTAATGTGTGATCGGACCCAAATGACTGTTGATGGCCATAACTTGTAACCTGTGGGAATGTGCTGTTAAAAGAGTCTCTGCTTGTCGGTGTTGACTCGGATAAAGGCTGTGACTGTGATGATGGGAGCTTCCCAGTAACTGTTGATGGTAAAGCATTTATCCTCATGTCAATAGCAGTATTCGGGTTTCCAGATGTAATTATGGATTTCTCCACAGATAGAACTGAACTAGGGTCTTGCAGTCTTTTTTGGACAATGTTTCTACATGTCTCTTCCATCAGTTCCCCCATAGAATCGTCGTCCATTATTGAATCATATTGGTAATGTTTGACCTCGTCACTGGTGACACGTTTTGGGTCCCGACCTTTCCGTTTAAACTTTTTATTCCCAGTTGCATCCTTTGCATTGATTGTCTTCCAGCCATCGCTGAGTAGATGTGGATTCCTCATTTCTGCACAAATAGGCACTACGCACTATTGAAAACAAACAGTACCACTGCCTTAAACGAAATAAGCCTATATTGGGTTACAATATTGCGCAACAGTATAATAATATTATATTGTAATATAATCAATTAAACATAGCCGGACAAGTCACTATGCAATGCAGCACTCTGATTCCAAGCATCAACAATCTTACTTTAAATAACAAAAATAAAGAATAGACCACATGTGCAGGCGCGTGTTGCTCCCGAGGATTCCGCGTCTCCTGGAGCAATCAAAATTGCCAGCATTTTTTGTGAATGTGCTCTTGAGTTTCATCTGTATTAGTTTTGCCTCAGTTTACATAGAAGCCCTTGTCGGTGAGATAAGTCGCCACGCCGCCTACAGCGAGAGACCGCCCAAAATATCTCTCGCAGTGCGTAATAACATATTAAACCACTGATTACGCGCATGGTTACTTGGTGACTTTTATGGACAGGCCTACAGAAGGACAATTATAATGGTATTTCAGTATAATACCTTGTTTTAAATTATTATATCACAATCTGTATGCGTTACAAATTAATTTTTACAAAGGCTATAGGCCTATGCTACATGAGAGCTGGGGTGCAGAGTTTTGGGGGGAGTGGACGATATATTTCTTTAAGCTATAGACCACCATAAAGTCTTGCATGAATGGTGTATATAAAATGCATGGACCATGTTCACAACTTAGCCTATATGTAATTGTTTATGCAATGCATCACCAATACGCATACCCATCATATTATTTTTGGTCTTCATTTAGCAAGCAAAACTAGATAAGTGCACATGGTAACCGCTAACAGTGTAGCCTAGACTTTTTGAGGTGTCTATAGCAAAGAACGTTTTTGGAACAGGGCAGACTAATAGGGGGCCAGTCCAGGAATAATCCACCCAAAACCACTCATTCCTATAATTTACAGTGTTACATAACACTAATATGTGATAACAATATATTTTTTTAAACAAATGTTTCATTTTGTCGTTATAATAAGGTTGGTAGCAACATGTGGAAATCGTTGTGGAAATCTGTTGCAGCTTGAGTCGACTGCAAAACCCACAATGCAATGCTCTCTATGGGCTGACTTGCTAGCTAGCTAGTTAGCAAACGTAGCTACACAATAATAGCAAAGTCAATATCAGCATGTGAAGTAACTAGTTAGCTGTAAAATCGCCTAAACGAACTGCACTATCAATTTAGGAGACTACAATCTCTCCATGTTCAACCTGCAGATCTATGTGCCTCGCAGAGGGGAGTCTGACATTCATAACGGCCATGCAATGCACCCTTGACTGATGAGGCACACAAATAGGGAAATGTGTTAGACCCTCTGTTAAATTACAAATTTCTCGTGGTAGGAATATCGCAAAAATATGATCAATGGCTCATTCGAGAGAAGACAACCTCCCGCGTTATGACATCGGCCAGTATTGACACGCGATCTAAAAGTCGTATTCCTATTAACTTCCAGTGTAGTGAGAGCGGCTTTATCGCAATCATAACACTATATATACAAAAGTATGTGGACACCCCTTAAAATGAGTGGATTTGGCCATTTCAGCCACACGCGTTGCTGACAGGTGTATAAAACCGAGCACACAGCCATGCAATCGCCATAGACACACACTGGCAGTAGAATGGCCTTACTGAAGAGCTCAGTGATTTTCAATGTAGCACCTTCATAGGATGCCACCTTTTCAACAAGTCAGTTCGTAACATTTCTGCCCTGCTGGAGCTTCCCCGGTCAACTGTAAGTGCTGTTATTGTGAAGTGGAAACATCTAGGAGCAACAACGGCTCAGCAAAGTGGTTGGCCACATAAGCTCATAGAACAGGACTGCCGAGTGCTGAAGCTCGTAGTGCGTAAAAATCACCTGTCCTCGGCTGCAACACTCACTACCAAGTTCCAAACTGCCCCTGGAAGCAACGTCAGCACCAGAACTGTTAGTCTGGAGCTTCATGAAATGGGTTTCCATGGCCAAGGAGCCGCACACAAGCCTAAGATCACCATGCGCAATGCCAAGTGTCGGCTGGAGTGGTGTAAAGCTTGCCGCCATTGGACTCTGGAGCAGTGGAAACGCGTTCTCTGGAGTGATGAATCATGCTTCACCATCTGGCAGTCCGACGGACAAATCTGGGTTTGGCAGATGTCAGGAGAACGCTACCTGCCCAAATGCATAGTACCAACTGTAAAGTTTGGTGTAGGAGGAATAATGGTCTGGGGCTGTTTTTCATGGTTCAGGCCCCTTAGTTCCAGTGAAGGGAAATCTTAGCGCTACAGCATACAATGACGTGCAGAAAGCGACGTCCATACAGAAATGGTTTGTCGAGATCGGTGTGGATGAACTTGACTGGCCTGCACAGAGCCCTGACCTCAACCCCATCGAACACCTTTGGGATGAATTGGAACGTTGACTGCGAGCCAGGCCTAATTGCCCAACATCAGTGCCCGACCTCACTAATGCTTGTGGCTGAATGGAAGCAAGTCCCCACAGCAACGTTCCAACATCTAGTGGAGGCTGTTATAGCAGCAAAGGGGGGACCAACTCCAAATGAATACCCATGATTTTTTATGAGATGTTCGACGAGCATGTGTCCACATACTTTTGGTCATGTAGTGTACCTCATACCGGCCAAATTTCTGCCTGCTTGAATGGCAATAGCTCAAATACACATGAAAACATGAAATTACCAGGGAATAGATAGAACATCGCTCAGAGATGCACAAAAACAATGTAACATTCAAAATGGGTGAATCTTTACTTTTAGTACTATGGAAGAAGTTAGTACAATGCTGCCACCTACTGCCGAAGAATTCAAACACAATCGCTCTCTGTGCACGTGCACGCACATGTAGGTCCTTTCTGCCTAAAATGTGAATATGTAATATTTGAAGGCATTATGAAATAGTCCCAAAAAGATTTTGTACAAATAGAGCCTTTCATGTACTCCAAGATAACTATTTAATACATACAAAATATAAGCAGTGACCTTATATACAGACAGGCTTTAATGTCAGAACATTTTTCCAGAGTAAAGAGATCCAAACAGGCTTTGGTTCTTCTTTTTTTTCTTTTTAACACAAAGGCCTCCAGTTGTTCCTGGGCAGAGTGCCAGCCGCTGAGCGACCTGCTGCTGCTTCCTCCTGATATTAAATTCCTCTGGCATGTACTCTGCCCTGGCTGACGCCAGCCCGCCACCAGGTCTCAAGAGTAAATATTTCCAGCTGGCACTGTTGCTTTGGTGCTCTGGTGAGGTAATTCATAGCTTTTTTTGTAAGGATCTTACAGTTAAAATATAGTTTTCGTCATACTTATTGGGAGGCACATCTGTTTTGTTAATTTGTATTTCCTCTTTCCAACAAATACTATATAAACTGCTACTTTGTCGCATTACACTGCATTATCTTTTATTGGACTATTGATGAACAGGAGTGGACCTTGAACCAGCAACCCTGCAAAAGAGAAAGTGCTTTACAAATTCTTATAAAGGTCAAGACCACTTGGCAGACAGAGGTCGTAATACACTTACAGTAGGCTACAGCCTATTCGGTCTCACTTTTTTGACCATGAGATAACCGTTTTTTAAAAATACATAATTTCATTTTACATACTGAAAGAACATATTGTGGCGTTTACGGTTTCCTGATCTTATAACATTACTAGCTTAAATAACAAACGGACGGAGAGGGAATCACAGTTAATGCCAACAACAGGCATTTTAATGTTACACTGCACGGGGTAACAGGGAACTGCACAAAACAACCAACCTAGCCTGAACTAGCTAGCCATACCGTAACTCACAGCCCAGCGGGAGGTATCTCCCCAGAGAGAATCATGAGAGAGCCAAATGGGGCTCTCCCTGCTAGTTATATCCACACTAAACCCGGGGATATTAACCACTCAAAGGTGGCCTTAGTGGGAGTGACCATAGAATTCTATGGGAGTGACCTACTCTGGCCCGTGGTCTGCCCACCCTACCCCACGAGGGTCGGTACAATATGTATTCACAATAACATTTATGAATGCAGATTGGTTCTTGGTCGGGTTTTGCTCATTTATAATGGTGCTGCTGCAGGGATAGGTTCACTAGACTCAACAAAATAATCAGATAAGGCTCATGTGGTTGGGAAATTTACTTGAGAACAAACTATTAAAACATTTTTTTTTAATAGTGTTAATGAGGAGCAGCTGATTGGATTACCAATTTTGAAGAATCCATTTGATATATCCAAACTGGTGGAGAGAGTGCTGGGTAAAGTGAAGGCTGTGAGGATCACGAGAGGCGGGCTAGTAGGAGATGTGTTGTTATGCTGAGGATCAGAAGGAGCGTGTGTTGCCCATCACCTGATTTGAGAGGTTTGACATGTCCTGTGTGTCTCTTCGGAACAGGGCACCCCTCAAGGGGGTAATATCTTGCAGAGATGAAAAATATTCCTGGAGTGATTGTTGCTCGTCGGAGGAATCGTGTGGTGAATGAAGAAAAAGTGAAGACTCTGTTCTTTTGTTTTTTATATGGAGTCTCTCCCTACTCAAGTGCAGTTGGGATATACAGTTGAAGTCGGAAGTTTACATACACTTAGGTTGGAGTCATTAAAACTCGTTTTTCAACCACTCCAAAAATGTCTTGTTCACAAACTATAGTTTTGGCAAGTCGGTTAGGACATCTACATTGTGCATGACACAAGTAATTTTTCAAACAATTGTTTACAGACAGATTATTTCACTTATAATTCACTGTATCACAATTCCAGTGGGTCAGAAAGTTGACTGTGCCTTTAAACAGCTTGGAAAATTCCAGAAAATGATGTCATGGCTTTAGAAGTTTCTGATATGGGAATTGACATCATTTGAGTCAATTGGGGGTGTACCTGTGGATGTATTTCAAGGCCTACCTTCAAACTCAGTGCCTCTTTGCTTGACATCATGGGAAAATCAAAAGAAATCAGCCAAGACCTCAGAAAAACAATTGTAGACCTCCACAAGTCTGGTTCATCCTTGGGAGCAATTACCAAACGCCTGAAGGTACCACGTTCATCTGTACAAACAATAGTATGCAAGTATAAACACCATGGGACCACGCAGCCGTCATACCGCTCAGGAAGGAGACGCGTTCTGTCTTCTAGAGATGAATGTACTTTGGTGCGAAAAGTGCAAATCAATCCCAGAACAACAGCAAAGGACGTTGTGAAGATGCTGGAGGAAACAGGTACAAAAGTATCTATATCCACAGGAAAACGAGTCCTATATCGATCGACATAACCTGAAAGGCCACTCAGCAAAAAAAAAAAAGCCAGACTACGGTTTTCAACTGCACATGGGGACAAAGATCGTACTTTTTGGAGAAATGTGCTTTGGTCTAATGAAACTAA